TGCTGGACTTTGCAGAATCTAGCCTACTTATCTGGGTACTTACAATGGTATCCATCATGATTGCAACTGAGCATCTCCCAGTAGTAAAAAATAATATCAACAATGATCCCCCTCTCTCTTCCTTTTCTGACAGAAAGAGCAGAGGCAGTAGAAGCTTGCTCTGAACGGGAGGGCAAAGGTCCTCTGCATGGGCAGTAGAACAAGGGGAGTGGGGGCAGCAGGGGAAGGTCAGGTGTCAGAGATAGGAAGGGGAGTCAAGGTGGGTGCTCTGTATGGGGAGTTGGGGTGCCAGGGAGAAGAGGTGGAGCAGTTCCTACCCGCTCCCTGGCCTGATTCCAGGTGCCATGGCAGCTGTACCAGCCCCTCTGGGTCTCATTCTCTCTTCTGCCTGCCCCTGCAAATGTCTGCAGTTTTCAGGGAATGGTGCACACTGGTGAAAACACAGATCAGCTCCCACAATATTTACATTGCAGAGGTGCAAGCCCACACTGCACTGTGATTCCACCACCTCCAAGAGACAGACATTCTTCTATTTGCTGTAATGATTTAAAAAGAAGAGCATGACTATTGATATGAATAAGGGTAGTTCTTTGGGAGAGCTTGGGCCTAGAAGTGGGTTTTGCATTTAGCTCTGAATGTGGTGAGCCTAAGTGGCCTCCATTCTGTACAAAGTTGTGATGTTCACTGGGCTAGTGCTTGTTTTGCAGTGTACTTTAATTTGACAGTGTAGCATCACTAAAATGGAAAAAATAAATGAACTGAACAAAAACCAGAAAAGGGTCATAGATATTCAATCTGCCAGATTACCTGGGGTATCCAAAATGCCTGACTTGCCTGCATGATTATGCAGTACTCTTAGGCTACGACTTCCTTTAATTTATCTCCAATAAGTGCATCCAGGAATGTCACCAAAGGAGATAGTGTTATGTTGCTTTCCAGGAAATATGATGATAAACATATCATTTAGCCACTGGATGGCCTGTTCATTTTAAGGTATCCCAAGTTTCTAAAACCAGGTAGTTCCCCTGCTATATGAACTATTAACTTAGATAACACAGTTTGTAAAACCATCTAACAATAATGCTAATACAATATCTTAGAAATAATAACCACATCATTGATTTAGATGAGCTCTGCATTTTTCTGACATTTGTAGAAGAAGTTATTATACAAAGAGACAGAGACTTAGAGAAAAATTAAGAGATTCCAGTGCTTGTATAAGGGCTTGGCAATACAGTACAGGAAGTGAGACTGTGCTTTTCAGTGCATATTATAGGCATAGCCTGGACAGTACAGCCTTAGAAAATTTTAAATTTGTATTAAGAATGCATACATTATCCTATGATAAGGATCTGCATGTAGCAAAAATGTATGTATAACACATACCCAATGGAAAGAATTTTAGATCAGATTTCTTGCCAATTATTATGTCCTTTGGTAAAGCACAGTCACTACTTGTTACTCATGTGGTGCCCTTTAAGTAATACAAATATATATGAGAAACAAGCACACAAAAGCTGGGAATGGAAATTACTGAACAGCTCAACCTAGTTCAAGTAACTGCAAGATCTCTGAATCCACCACGCTAAAGCCCCAATCCTGCAAACACTAAAGCATGTCCTTTACTACCATGAACAGCCCCATGGCAATCAATGGGATTACTCACAGTGGTAAAATTAAGCATGTGTAACTGTATGCAAGAGTGGGGCCTAACATGTTGTTCTATCTACCCATACTGTAGGCTTTTACTATATCAAAAATTTTCCAGGCAAATGTACTTTACCTTCCCCTCTTGTTGAATTTTTGCATCCATTTTACATGCATTTAACAATGCACTATTACTTTCAGGATTCTGACCCACATCAAGACAAGGAAGTTCAACTAATTTAACTTGCAAAAAGAAAAGGAGTACTTGTGGCACCTTAGAGACTAATCAGTTTATTTGAGCATAAGCTTTTGTGAGCTACATCCGATGAAGTGAGCTGTAGCTCACGAAAGCTTATGCTCAAATAAATTGGTTAGTCTCTAAGGTGCCATAAATGCTCCTTTTCTTTTTGCGAATACAGACTAACAGGGCTGCTTCTCTGAAACCTAATTTAACTTGGAGGTCCAGTAGTTGGCCTGTTGTGTTGTTGGTTTTTTTTTTAATGGAGACAGAAACCTCTTGGATTTATGGCAACATGTGTATATATAGATTTAAAACATTTCCAAAACCAGACTTTACTACATGTACTCCTTCCCCAGGGGAGAAGATGAGAGAACAAACACATCACAGATTCGTCACGTGGCTTAATGAGCTACGGGAAGGCTACAATGATGAGCTTGGTCTAAACGCGACCTAGAGCCGAATACCAGCTGTTGTTCAATTACAACCCAAGATCCATAAACCTGGAAATCCTGGGCGCCCCATCATCTCAGGCATTGGCACCCTGACAGCAGGATTGTCTGGCTATGTAGACTCCCTCCTCAGGCCCTACGCTACCAGCACTCCCAGCTACCTTCGAGACACCACTGACTTCCTGAGGAAACTTCAATCCATCGGTGATCTTCCTGATAACACCATCCTGGCTACTATGGATGTAGAAGCCCTCTACACCAACATTCCACACAAAGATGGACTACAAGCCGTCAAGAACACTATCCCCGATAATGTCACGGCAAACCTGGTGGCTGAACTTTGTGACTTTGTCCTCACTCATAACTATTTCACATTTGGGGACAATGTATACCTTCAGATCAGTGGCACTACTATGGGTACCCGCATGGCCCCACAGTATGCCAACATTTTTATGGCTGATTTAGAACAACGCTTCCTCAGCTCTCGTCCCCTAAAGCCCCTACTCTACTTGCGCTATATTGATGACATCTTCATCATCTGGACCCATGGAAAAGAAGCCCTTGAGGAATTCCACCATGATTTCAACAATTTCCATCCCACCACCAACCTCAGCCTGGTCCAGTCCACACAAGAGATCCACTTCCTGGACACTACAGTGCTAATAAACAATGGTCACATAAACACCACCCTATACCGGAAACCTACTGACCGCTATTCCTACCTGCATGCCTCCAGCTTTCACCCTGACCACACCACACGATCCATCGTCTACAGCCAAGCTCTGCGATACAACCGCATTTGCTCCAACCCCTCAGACAGAGACAAACACCTACAAGATCTCTGTCAAGCTTTCTTACAACTACAATACCCACCTGCAGAAGTAAAGAAACAGATTGATAGAGCCAGAAGAGTTCCCAGGAGTTACCTACTACAGGACAGGCCTAACAAAGAAAATAACAGAACGCCACTAGCGGTCACCTTCAGCCCCCAACTAAAACCCCTCCAACGCATTATTAAGGATCTACAACCTATCCTGAAGGATGACCCAACACTCTCACAAGTCTTGGGAGACAGGCCAGTCCTTGCCTACAGACAGCCCCACAACCTGAAGCAAATACTCACCAACAACCACATACCACACAACAGAACCACTAACCCAGGAACTTATCCTTGCAACAAAGCCCGTTGCCAATTGTGCCCACATATCTATTCAGGGGACACCATCACAGGGCCTAATAACATCAGCCACACTATCAGAGGCTCGTTCACCTGCACATCCACCAATGTGATATATGCCATCATGTGCCAGCAATGCCCCTCTGCCATGTACATTGGTCAAACTGGACAGTCTCTACGTAAAAGAATAAATGGACACAAATCAGATGTCAAGAATTATAACATTCATAAACCAGTCGGAGAACACTTCAATCTCTCTGGTCACGCAATCACAGACATGAAGGTCGCTATCTTAAAACAAAAAAACTTCAAATCCAGACTCCAGCGAGAAACTGCTGAATTGGAATTCATTTGCAAATTGGATACTATTAATTTAGGCTTAAATAGAGACTGGGAGTGGCTAAGTCATTATGCAAGGTAGCCTGTTTCCTCTTGTTTTTTCCTACCCCCCCCCCCCCCCCAGATGTTCTGGTTTAACTTGGATTTAAACTTGGAGAGTGGTCAGTTTGGATGAGCTATTACCAGCAGGAGAGTGAGTGTGTGTGTATGGGGGTGGGGGGGATGTGAGAAAACCTGGATTTGTGCAGGAAATAGCCCGACTTGATTATGTAAAGAGTTGTCACTTTGGATGGGCTAGCACCAGCAGGAGAGTGAATTTGTGTGGGGGGGTGGAGGGTGAGAAAACCTGGATTTGTGCTGGAAATGGCCCACCTGATGATCACTTTAGATAAGCTATTACCAGCAGGACAGTGAGGTGGGAGGAGATATTGTTTCATATTCTCTGTGTATATATAAAGTCTGCTGCAGTTTCCACGGTATGCATCCGATGAAGTGAGCTGTAGCTCACGAAAGCTCATGCTCAAATAAATTGGTTACTCTCTAAGGTGCCACAAGTACTCCTTTTCTTTTTGCGAATACAGACTAACACGGCTGTTACTCTGAAACAAGATATTTGCACACACACCCCTCTAAAATGAGCAGACAGGTCCCACCACACTGCACGTCGGTATATAAAATGAGGGGATCAGGGCGCTTTGGGAGAACAAATTTATTTCCTTTCCTGCTCGAAGGCGGGGCGGGGGGTGAGCTGCCCACGGCACCGGACGCCGACTTTGGGGTGTTGATGATGGACCCGTCCGTCTCCCAGGGTTACACCACCGCCGCCTACGACACCGGGGCATTTATCACTGACGGGCTCAGTTTCAAAGAGCACCAGGAACATCGGCCCGAGGGAGCAGCGTAGACTCTGCTTTTCCAAGGGGCTTCTGCAGCCCCCTCCCCGCTCATTATCTGCCAGACTATGCTACGGGGGGGGGGCAGGGGGGAACTCTGTCCCCCTGAGGGAGCCTTGTCTCCCCTCCCCCCTCAGGGGGTCTCTGCATTCCCTCCCATCGGTCCGCAGCCAGCTCCCCGCCGGCACGAACTGAGGGACGGACTGCTCCAGCCCGCTCCCGCGCGAGCGGCCAGGCGCACGCTGTTTACCTACCGCCTGCCCCGGAAGTGCCCCGCGCCGTCCGGACGCGCTACTCTGCCCCCACAGAGCAACGGCGGAGGCAGAGACATCGCCGCCGGCCGCCATCACGTGACTCGAGGTCCGAAGAGCAGCGGCTGAAGGGACGCGCTAGCCGGTGCCAGAGATAGACTCTATGGCCACGGAGGCGTAACGGCGGGGGCTGCGCGGTCTCCTTTTCCTGTTTCCGGTTGGCCAGGGAGTCTCCTGTCCTCGCGGCTTCTGGTCGTGGAGCCGCCGTGGCACTGCCAGGAGGGGTCAGTTCTTCCCTGGGGCTTGGGCTGGCTCTAGGGCGAGGGCTCCCAGAGAGCCTCCCCCTGGGCCCCGCGATCCCGCGCAGGAGCCCGCCGCGGGGCAGTGACTCATTCGGCCCCGCCCCTCGGGTGCCGCTGCCGCGCTGGGGCCGGGGAAGGGAGCGTGACCCGGCCGCGAGCGGTCGGATGAGGGTGGGGGTGGGACGACACTGTGGGCTCCTCGGCCCGCTGCGGGGGTCGCCCCCGCCCCCGCCGACTCGGGAAGTGAGCCGCTCGCTCCCGGCCGGGCCCCGCTCCAGGTGCGGGTAGCTGGAGCGGCCGCGCTGCCCCCGCGCCGCGCTCCCTCCTGTGTGGCCCGCGTGGACCGCAGATGCGCTAGGGCCGGGGTTTTTAACTCGGGGGTGCGGAGAAACCGTAACCATCGGGGGTCCCGACAGCTCCGGGGGGTGGGGGTGGAACAAGAGTTTAAAAGAAAACGAGTTTGGCGGCATAAACAACCCACCGGTTTACTCGTCTGACTAGGAAAGTTCAGAAAGTACAGGTGAGACGGGGGTGGAAAGTACGTGTTGGAGAACGATCGTAACAGCTGACTGAAATAGCCGCTTCCCTCCCTCTATCTACAGAAACGTGAAGCACTCTGATTAACTAGGTAGCGGGGGCAGATATTGCTACTGCACTGCATAGGCACGGTAACTTTTGCAGTACTTTTATGACTATGTAATGAAAAGATTTTATCATTCAATTTTTATGTAGGATTTCCCCAATTGGATGCTAGAAAAGATGTTTGATATCAAAGCCTGGGCTGAATATATTGTGGAATGGGCTGCAAAGGATCCATATGGCTTTCTTACCACTGTGATCTTGGCCCTTACACCATTGTTCCTAGCAAGTGCAGTGCTATCATGGAAACTGGCAAAAATGATTGAGGCCAGGGAGCGGGAGCAAAAGAAGAAACAGAAACGCCAGGAAAATATTGCAAAGGCCAAACGAACAAAGAGGGATTAAGTGAGACAAAATGCCTTCCTTGTGCAAAAAATGTGCTTTTTCGTTGACGCATTCTCGTGCACTTGTATCTTTGTGTGTTGTTGTCTTCCTCCAACAATCTTCTTGAACTACAACAATTCAACCCCTGAAATTATTCATGTTCTGCTTACACAATTTGTGTTGCTGTCTCTGTCTAATCTACAATGGCATTTGATGTGTATAATTCAACCAGATACCACTTTCCAATGAGTTTACTTTTGTATGTTTACATGCCATACATTAAAATTAATGCACTTGGGGGGTGGGGTTTGGTTTTTTAAATTGGAACTGCTTTAGCAGTTGTTCAAACATGTCAATATTAAATTATGGAAGAAAAAATTAAAATGTCTGACTTTCTAAAAATATTGCAGTCATTGGTTTTCTAGACGCTTAGGAACTTCGTTTTAATACAGCCTTTTTTCTACTGTTAGTTTGTCTTCATTATAGTACTTTTTTTTTTTTTTTAACCTGGTTTCAACTTGGTCCTGGAATAGCAGTCCTTGTTTCTGCAGCAATTGCCAGCTTTGTATTCTCAGGAGTTTCTTATTATATGAACAGTGTTAGCATTTCACATTCACTTGACTAAATTCTTCATGAGTGGCTCTCAAAATCTGCTTCCTGAACGGTCAGTAGTCCACTGAGCCTTTTTTGGATAGTTCACAGAAGGAAAGTTTTTACAACAAAGCAGTAGGCAAATGACTTCATTTTCACAATATCCCAATGTGAACAGCTCTTGCCTACAATGTGCTTCACAAAATGAATGTGGAGCTCCATTTGGCAAACTAAATACCATTCTAGGTTTAGGTGAGGACAACAGTAACTCTGGAGCAGCGGAGGAACTGCCTTGGATATTACCAGCTTTGAAAGGATGGCTTAATGGAAGGAAACAAAAGTCACATGTGGTTCTAGTGTTGTAAAAGTTGCAAAGTAAATTGGAGCGAAGACTAACCTATTTAATTTATTCAGATTTTTCTGTCCAAAGAATAATAGTAAAAGTGAAAAATGTGTAGTTTAATATCATGCTTTAGCAAATCTTAATTTTTATTAGTACTTTAGTTCCAATGGGTCTGATCCTGTAGTAGCTATCAAGTTTTAGGCCCTGTTCCAATAACATGTCTCTTAATCAGAGCGAATAGGATTCTCGTGCCTAGCTCTTCACTTAGTATGTAAAGGATAAACACCTATGAAAGCAGATGCTCTATATTATTGAAAGGAGGAAGTGAATAAGAGATGATAAATACCAATGCTAACAAACAGGAAGTTTTGCTAAATCAATATTAGGGCTTGTCTACATTGGCAATTTACAGCACTGCAACTTTCTTGCTCAGGGGTGTGAAAAAACACCCCCCTGAGCGCAGCAAGTTTCAGTACTGTAAAGCACCAGTGTAGACAGTGCATCAGGGCTGGGAGCTACACCCCTCATGGAGGTGGGGGGTAGGTTTTTTTTGTTTTTTGAGAGCCGCGACCACACAAGGCATGTTAACTGTTGCCAGTATAGACTAGCCCTTAGTTAAGAGTTGGATGTGAAACATTCAGGTGTAACAGTTAGCTTTCTTCTCCGAGTGTTGCTCAAGACAAGTATTGTTAGAACATAAAGCATGTTTTAACCTTTTTATGATCTGGATTAAGTCTTCACTGTTTGTCTTGAATGTGGTTACACCTTGGTATTTATACAGTTTTGATATTGTTTTAAAATGGAACAGATGCAAAACTAACTACATTACCTAAATAAATTTGATACTTTTTTAAAAATGTGTTCGTTCTTTATTCTGACTTGTAAAAATGTGTAACAGCTGTAGAGAAAAAGAATGTGCCATCTATACAATACTTGAGTATATATTTAATTAAATATAGGGTTCTAAAGAGAATGGATTCAACATACATTGATAAGTGAAAATGATCCAAATTAACTAATTCTTTGGCATAATCCTCTCGAAAGTGGTGTGACTTACACAGTGTTTTTTATAGTAGGCACAGCTCACTCTGTGTGGCTGATGTAAAGGACTCATACTCTTAAAGTCTCCAAATGAAGCATTTGTTAATCAGCTGGTGAATCCTGACTGGGAACATTTGCTTTGTGTTGGAGGTGGAACATAGGATCTCATCATGCGCACCAATTAAAGCCAGATGTAGCCTAGTTAATTTATAGAATCAGAAGGTAGACATGGAAAATACCTGTTATTTGTTTAGTCTATTATCGAAAGATTGTTTCCTATATTAATTTTTTGTTCAGTCACTTTAAATCCCACATGACGTGTTTCCACCACTTTAGTTTATTTTAATACCCCAGCATGTGCTGGGTGCCTCCCACTACAGTGAAAACATGTGCTAGTAAACACGTTGATTTCTGAATCCCCTGAAACACTGAAAATCCCAGATGAGGCTGCACACTAGTTTCAGACATGGTACAGCCTGGGGAAGGATGAAAGGAACAAATAAGATTTGTTAGGAATAACAGCATGATGGAGCAAGTAACTTTAAAATGTGACAGGCTTCTTGTAGACACTGGAGAAGGAAGTTAAAGGGTTCTCTGAAAAGAGGGTAGTGTCTTAGAGCAGCTCAAGATGGGTGGGCCAGAGGCAGGGCTAAGTGTAACAGAAACATCAAAACCAACACCTTTGGTAGATAGGGGGATGGACATAAAGGTGGTACAAAAACAGATCAGACAACTCTGGCCTTAAAGATAAACTTGAAAATAAAAGTGAAGAAAGGGGAAATATAAGCAGTGGCTGGGGGTTGGTATCAGGTTGGGTAAGATAGTCTACCTTGACTACTGAACAATATTCTGAGTTAAGCCTTTTCTTTTGGCAGCTGTAGGGCAGATGCTAGATCCAAACTCACTCTGCTCATTCTCACACCATGGCATAACCCATCAAAATTATATTTTTTTCTAAGTAGAATACTATTTCCCTTTTGCAGGCAGTAATAACCACACACAGCTTTTCCCTTTATCATATAAAATCTTTTATAGTGGTCAGTCTCCATCTCAGATTCCATTCAGTACTATTCCTAAAATTGTTTGGGAATGTGGTGGGGTGGTAATATATCTCTGGCCCTTTAAATTTCTTTCCAATTCTATAGCCATAAAATTGATTTAACAAAAGAATCTAAACTTCATTAAAAATCATGTTTGCCTTCATAATCTATAGTTACAATCTTCTAAACTAACATAAACCAGTGAAGTTCTTAGGATACAAACATGTAGTCCATTCCTTGCAAGGGTAGGGCTAATTCTGAAAACTAGTGACAGTAAGTGTTAACAAGAGATCAAAATGTCAAATCATGTATATGGATAGGAAACAAGAGAAAAAAAAGAGATGACTCTTTTCTTCAGCTGCTAAAAGCTTCAGCTGCCTCTCAAAGGCCTGAAACCTTAACTGACCCTTGCACAGGAGCCAAAGCCTCCAGCTCTTCCTGTCTGACAACTTCTGTAAAGAAGTTGTGTATTATCCAAATCAAATCCTATTGCAAATTAAACAGTTTGGGGGTAATGCACATTTGAAAGACATTCCAACACTGAGATGTCCACAGTTGAATATCAAAATAAGGAGTATTGTCTGATACTTTTTATATTTTAATAGTCATGTTTCTTTTTTGTTACTGAAGCTGTTACAAGTCTGACACCTTCAGCTCAGAATTTAGGGCCTGGGGGTCACAGCTTTTAGGGAGACCTAGCCATAGCACTCTCCATTGCTATGAATCAGATGTGCTAAGTCACTAACCTAGAGCTCAGGTGCTTTTATCATTAAGTCATGAAAACTTGTACAGAGCAGGTTTTAATAGCACGGGGGGGGGGGGGGAAGAGGACAAAGTCTGTGCCCTCTCTGCACTAGTTTACACTTTTCTTATCACTGATGCAGCTGCACCATTACTGGCCCTTCCTGTAATCCTGATAAGAATGTTATTGGTGTAGACACTGCCTAGGACAGTGGTTCTCAAACTTTTGTACTGGTGACCCCTTTCACACAGCAAGCCTCTGAGTGCGATGCCCCTTATGAATTAAAAACACTTTTTTTGTATATTTAACACCATTATAAATGCTGGAGGCAAAGTGGGTTTTGGGTGGAGGAGGACAGCTTGCGATCTCCATGTAATAACCTTGCAACCCCCTGAGGGGTCCTGACCCCCAGTTTGAGAACCCCTGGAGGTCTTAAATTCCTGGAAAATGAGAAAGTGCTTCCACACTCTGCTCTTATTTGGCTCAGACTGATTCCATATAGCACTTTAGACTACTTACAGATGGCCAGCAAGACACACTTTAACTGTTGATTTTACCATCTATTAATACAGTTACACGATATAGTCCCCTAAAATTAACAAAGAATGTAGTCTCTCTATATTTTTGAAGTGCTTTATGTTAATGAGGTCAAACAAACCCTACAATCACCTAAGGGAGCCAACAGCATTGACCACATTAAAAGGCAACAATAGGCAGGGAACTCTTTGGGATTCCATAGAAATACATTATGATTAAGCAAAAAAAATCTAGATTTGATAATGCAAAAGGTCATTTATAAGCCTCATGTCTACAAATAAGCTATGTGAAATCCATTATGTTGATGACCAGATTATAATTATAATTTTTTTAAAAAATAATTGTTACCTTTAAGGAAAACGCCTGTCAAAAGAAAGTGTATTGTGACATTTTCCTACCTCAATGAACTAAATAGAATGAGCTCAAGAATAACAGATTAACAATTACTTTAAAAAAAAATTAAGTAGCAATAGTTTTATACTAAGATTTACTAATTAGTCACAGTAATAACTAAGAATTCAATGATTTCTAAGATCTACCTTGTAAAAACAAATGAAAATTAACTTTAATATATCAGTTTATTTCTCACACACAGTTGGTAAGTGAAAAAGAGTTTTCTTCAGTCATGTTGCTTGTTAGAGCAATTTTCTACACAATTCACTGGCAAGATTTTTCACATTACAACTGTTTATTTATTACGGCTATTGCTAGCTGGTGGGATCCAGGAACCTGGCTGAAAGGTTTTTGCAGTGCTGGATGGGTCTGGTGAAGGCTCATTCTTTCCATAGTAAGGGGATGATGCATGGCCTTTAATTTGAGTTTGAACTGGTTCAGCAACAAGTCCCTCATATTCTTTGGTTTGAAGGAGGCTGTCCTTTTCAGAAGCATCTGTGATTTTCAGTTTTATTTCTTCTCTATAGATTTCATTCTTAAGAATTTCCTGCAAAAAGCCACCAGGCAAGAAGGAAAATGGTTAAAGCAGACATCAATGTAATTTACACTACTGAAATAGCAAACGAAAACCCATAGGTATCTTTTTTCCTAAACTTAATTTTACACATTCTCTCTTCATATGCATTTGCAAAATAAA